AGAGAGAGAGAGAGAGACGTGGCACTTCTCTTTGATTGTTGGGGAGCTGTTTTGCAAGTTGAACAATATAAGCGGGTGGATGAAAAGTGGTTGAGTTTCGTTTACGTAACACTTTGATGTTGTACACGGTTTGACGCAGGACGACTGTTGTTCTTGTTGTATAAAAGATTTGCAGAACGAATAATGTTTCGCAATGTATGGACTTTCAATCATGGCATGTACCATTATCTGGTGGGTGAATTTTTTTTTTTTTTTTTTTTCCATATTAAATGTTTACAAGAAACAAAAGCCCACCACAATGGGAGGTGAAGCATGTTTGGAGATAGGGGCGATGATGGTGGGAGGTTGGTAAGGGGGTCGGTGATACACGCGTCAAGGGATACATGGAGGAGAATCATTGGTGACAAAGCATAGCGGGACAGAGTGGAATGAAAAAAACACACACACAAAAAAAAAAAAAGCAAACTAACATAAAACGAAAGCACTCCACGCAGTGATGACCCACGAAATGTTTGATTATATGTAAACAACCCCCGAAGGAAACAGTGGTCTATATCGGCCTACGCCGAGTAACACCATCACTGAACACTGCACACTCGCCAACCAGCATTGATTGCTTCTCCGTTCGGGGAAGGATTAACTGGCGGCCGCTAATACCTAATGTAGGAACACAGACGCGAAGACGTAATCCAGGTGAGAAAGCATAGCGGGATTGAGTGGAATGAAGAAAAACAAAAACAAAAAACAAAAGCAAACAAACATGAAACGAAAGCACTCCACGCACTGATGACCCACAAACTATTCGATTATATTTAAATAACCCCCGAAGGAAACAAAACTCTATATCGGCCAACGCCGAGCGACACCATTACTGAACTCCGGACAGTCGCCAACCAGCATTGATTGATTCTCCATTCGGGGAAGGATTAACAGGAGGCCGCTAATACCTAAGGTAGGAACACCGACGCGAAGACATGTGGCCAGTCCGAATCATAACCAACAGCCGTCCACATGACAGCGCATGCATCCGGATTTTCAAGTTTGCATTCGGATACGGAGACCGTCACGCAAAGCCAGAGCAGCGTCACTTGCGTCTAATTGTGACACGGGCCGTGGAAGATCTTGTAACCCTAGATCGGCACGAACGAGATTCCCGTTCTCATCAGGTTCTAGCAGGACCGCATCATCAAACATTATGCCGGCCTCGACTAAAAGGTTGTGGATGACACAGACAGCTATGAATTGCGGAGGAAGGTTGTCCATATTCGTCTTGTGGTGACGAAGGAACAACCTCCACATCCCCTTTAGCTGGCCAAAACCCCTCTCCACTACTCCTCGCGTCGTCTTCTGCCGCGTGTCAAACAAGCCGACATCCCCAGTCTGCTCGCACCCTCCGTAGGGGACGACCATCCACGTCCTTGGAGAGTACCCGTTATCCCCGAGGAGATAACCTGTTGTGGACACCCCTCCAGGAAGCTGCAACGGTTCCGCGTTGAATAGCTCACCCGCCTCCGCGTATCGAAACAGAGATGAGTTTCTCAACACCCATTGGTCATGGACGCTCCGGGTACCCCATGAACACATCAAGAATCCTCATGTCGAGGTCCACCACAACCTTGGCGACGACCGAGAACTGTTGTTTCCAGTCGTAGTAGTTCTCTGACGGTGCGTTGGCAGGCTTGTCAACGTACACATGCGTGCAATCGATAGCGCCAAAGCAATTAAGGAAGCCCTTCGCTCCTAAAGCGTGGGTCACCTGCAGCAGATGACGTCCAGTAGGCATGGCAATCTTGTCGGGATACGCAACCAATATTGCGTTAGTGACGTCCATGACAGCCTTCAATCTCGACGCCCTGCCAATGCTGAAGCTGGAAGACGCGCTCTCGAAGGTCTCGCCCGAAGCCCACCTGTACAGAGCGAAGGCGAGGATGAGGTCGGGCTGCAAAGGCTCTCGGTAATGTGTCAGTCTACGTTCGATGAAGGGACTGCACGCTGCGACGATGTTGCTGAAGATGCTCCGTGACATTCGTAGTTTGTCGTGGAAATAGTCATCGGTGGCATCGTCCGTGATATCCAAGTCCGACCATGTCCCCCGAGTCCGTCTTTTCATCCACCACCGCGGAGTGTCCCTTTGCCGAACACCCGCAATAATTGCGTTCGACATCAGGAATGGCGCATCCGACACGCCACACGAGGTGATAACGTCTGCCAATGCCTGGGCTATGGCGGCCTCCCTCCTCCCGTTTCCCTTCCCACCCCCCCGCCGTAATCCGTTCCCCGTCTCCATGTATCGACAGACCGCGAGGACAGCACTGGCGACCATGGTCTTCTCACGGTGTGACAGTGTCCTCACTTCCGCCTCCACCCTTCCGCCACCGTCCATAGTTGAACACCCTTGCGAAGACACATCACAAGCCAGGCACGCGAAGACAATTCCGCTCCCGCAACGGTAGAAAATTCACGCTGTGCGGTGTAAAGAAACGCACACGCGACGACTCCACGAAGCAGTCCACACGAACCCTGTCGGCGCAGATTTTGAATTCGAATTTGATGGGCCGTGCGCGCGTGCTTCGGTGGCGGTGGAGGACACCGTGCGCCCATTGGGAAGGCCCGCCTCGCTCCGCCGTGGGCCCAAAGGAGGCGGACACGATAACGTTCGCCTCAACTGCGGGAGTCTGCGGGTCGGACATTGAAATTCAGGTGGGCAGCCGAATGCAACGGAATCGGAGGCACCTGAAACGTTAGTGCGCCTAAGTGTAGGGTTTTTGTAAGTGGTTGTGGAACGAAAACTGGGGTAAGGGAAAATTAATCAGTTTTTTGCCGTAAGGGCGCCCTTTCAAAGTAAGGGTTTTGTAGTGGTGTCGAACGAGGCCCAAACTGAGGAGAAGTTGTTCAGGTCTGGGGAAAATAATAGGATTTGAAGTTCTTTCTTTGATGGCTCCACACATGTTTTTAGTTATTGCGCGGTAATCGTTGGCGTTTATCAAAATACACGGGTCTTGGGTTGCTTACACAATGATGACCATATCCCTGATTGCATACAACTTTGCAAACAAAGGAGAGAAGGAGGTACCGACCCCTTAGGACACTTCAGTTTGGGCGCAACACATACACATGCGTTAAAAAAACGACGAGACAACTAGCACTACGACACTCGAAAAGTACGGATCGCAAAAGTTTCTGCGTTAGACAGGCAGCACGAGACACGAAGTCGTCCATCATCAAAGCCAATTCGCAATCCCATTACCGTTCGCATTCCCGACTTCGATTTCTTATCAATCAAACAGATTGTCACAAGCGAATCTCTCTCTCTCTCTCTCTCTCTCTCTCTCTCTCTCTCTCTCTCTCTCTCTCTCTCTCTCTCTCTCTC